CAGATGTTTAAATCTAATCTGGTGCATTATTTGGGATGTTTAAATCTAATCTGGTGCACTATTTCAGGTGTTTAAATATAATCTGGTGCAGTATTTCAGATGTTTAAATCTAATCTGGTGCAGTATTTCAGATGTTTATATCTAATCTGGTGCAGTATTTGGGATGTTTAAATCTAATCTGGTGCAGTATTTCAGATGTTTAAATTTAATGTGGTGCACTATTTGGGATGTTTAAATCTAATCTGGTGCACTATTTGGGATGTTTAAATCTAATCTGGTGCAGTATTTCAGATGTTTAAATCTAATCTGGTGCATTATTTGGGATGTTTAAATCTAATCTGGTGCAGTATTTCAGGTGTTTAAATCTAATCTGGTGCACTATTTCAGGTGTTTAAATATAATCTGGTGCAGTATTTCAGATGTTTATATCTAATCTGGTGCAGTATTTGGGATGTTTAAATCTAATCTGGTGCACTATTTGGGATGTTTAAATCTAATCTGGTGCAGTATTTGGGATGTGTAAATCTAATCTGGTGCACTATTTGGGATGTTTAAATCTAATCTGGTGCAGTATTTGGGATGTGTAAATCTAATCTGGTGCAGTATTTCAGATGTTTAAATCTAATCTGGTGCACTATTTCAGATGTTTAAATCTAATCTGGCACACTTATTTCAGCTATATAGACATAATCTACATTATGCTTTCTGATGTGAAAATAAAATGTAGGCCAATAATTTAGGCATAAGATGGAACACTATATCGGATGTAGAATGTGGTGCAATGTTAAACATGATTAGGTAGAACACGGTGTAAACTTTATGTATTCATGTTATCATATAAAAATAATATTACCTTTCTCTCGAATATTCTACCAGGTTTCCCGACAGAGAAGAATACGCAGGGAATGAGGCCAAACTCAACCGAGAAATACGTCTCTCAGCACCTCCATTTCCCCCAAAACAAACAAGTATTATCTTAACGTACAGAGGAACACATTCTTATAAAGTGTGACAACATGGAATTTTTTGTTAATAACACCAACATCAGTTTATTCTACTTTTATGAGAACGCAGTTGACTATAACTTAACGGAAATATTGAATAACCTGACGACCCCAAACGAATCCCAAACGGTGGACTCAACAGAAACAGAAAACACCGTCTGGAACGGGTCGCCTTACCCTAGTGGTTATTCGTTTCTTCATATCATACTTACTGCTTTATTCGTCACGTGCATTATGGTTGTCATTGTCGTTGGAAACATGCTTGTTTGCATAGCAATCGCTACAGAGAAGACGTTAAAAACCATACAGAACTGGTTCATAGCTTCCCTGGCGGTTTCCGATTTTTTGGTTGGATTAATTATCATGCCATTTTCTCTCGCCAACGAGCTCATGGGATACTGGATATTCGGTACGGTTTGGTGCGACATTCACGCTGCTCTGGATGTTCTTCTATGCACAGCATCAATAAACAACTTGTGTCTGATTAGTCTCGACAGATACTGGTCCGTGACCCACGCCGTGGAGTATCTCAAGAAACGAACCCCTTCTAGAGCCATGGGAATGATTTGTTTCGTCTGGCTTCTGTCGGCATTAATATCGCTACCCCCACTCGTGGGCTGGAAGAAACCAGACGAACCGTCCATTTATCCGGTGTGTAACGTCAGTGAGGATATTGGGTATGTCTTGTATTCGGCCCTCGGATCGTTTTATGTTCCCGCTATCGTTATGGTCTTTGTCTACATTCGGATATTTATTGCAGCAAGGTCTCGAGCGAGAAGGCACGTGAAGAAGAAACAGCAACCGCTCGAGTTGACTACTGGCCCTGGTAGAGATAAGTCTACAACCACAACCGCGACAACAACATGCACTAGCCTCAGTCAGCCTAGTCCTCCTGATAAGGGGAGTCTCGAATTTAAGGTGAATGGTAGTGGCAGTTATCACGTGAAACCGACTTCCCGCTTAACATCGACACCGCAAATTATAATTGAGACATCGGCAGAAGCTTACGGCGAGTCTGACGTGGAAGCATCGGAACAGCTAAGAGAGGAATGTACACCTAAAGTCTACGAAACGAGTAGCTTGGAGAATAAAAGCTCTTCGAGAAATAATGGTAATACCCACGCCAAAGTCAACACTAGCGAAACAAGCCCCTCCCAGCCAGAATCGACAATAAAATCCTCACTTTTGAGCGCTCCCAGACTGATAAGAAGTTTTGGATCGACACTTTCTTTAGCAAACTTCGACAGGGAGGAAGATTCCTATGATGCAGAAAGTGGTTTGAAGAAAGGGAAGGGGAAGAAAGTAACCTACCTACACCAACCGTTGTCACGGTCCCACACAGCTTCTGACACGGAGAGACAGAAACGAAAAATTGCCAAAGCGAGAGAACGCCGTGCTACTCTGATCTTAGGCATAATTATGACTTCTTTCATATTGGCATGGTTACCGTTTTTCCTTATTTACGTTTTAGCCGCGATTTGTAACAGCTGTCATATCGAGAACACGTGGTTTGCCGTGGCGTTTTGGCTAGGATACTGCAACTCTGCCTTAAACCCTATCATTTACACCATTTTTAACAGGGACTTTCGAAAAGCGTTTCGTAAGATTCTCTTTAAATAGTTAAACGCAGAATCAAATCACTGCTGGGAAACATACTGTTACCAAAAGTCTTCCAATCTAGCAAGAAGAAATGATTT